TCCCACTGACACAATACCAAACACTCGTAACTTTAAGGTGAAGATGAATTTTCAGGAATGTAATCCATGATTGGCTGGCTTCAAGGCAGGATCACCAATGTGGAAGACTTGCAGAGCAAAGCTGTGCAGTTCACGGTAAAAAGGAAGCAGAGTAGGGAAATAGTGCCAGAAAGAAAAGGCACAGGAGCAGATACAGCACCAAAACTCACCCATCATCTACCTCCCAAACACAGCCAGAATCACATCCCACTGATTCCCCTGTCAGCTCCCAAGTCAATCAAGTTGCCAATTAATTTAGTCATCACAATGGTGTTCTCAACATATAAGATAATTTCATGTGGTACAGGTGCATTGACAGCATTATTCACGGACTATGTATCACAGGGTTAGTGTTGGTTTAGATACTGGGCATAGCAAGCAGATCCTGCATGAAACACCTTACTCTCTGGAGATGCAGACAGAAAGTTAAACAAGGCATTATGATAAGAGTCGATGATTTCTTTGGCAGATGCATGAGATGTTAAGAAGTAAGAGTGCAAAACTGGTCTTAGGAGCCAAAAGATTTCGCTAAAACCAGCTAAAATCTGAAAAATATTAACGAGGAAAAGGTGAACTGGAAGAGGGAAAAGTAAGGAGAGAAGTATTTTAGAAGGAACACTCTGTGGTCATAGAACACAGGATGGGTTCTAGAAAGTGAAGTAAATTTGGTACAGTTGGAGCATAACTAGATAAGAAGTAGTGGCAGGATGGCAATGAAAAATAGAAAGATGGTTGATTTCATATAGCTGCATAAGCATGCTCAATTATGATTTTAAGAGCTATGGATTCCAACATCTATGAGAATTCAAGTCTATAGAGGTGTTAAAAAGTTGATTTGACTGCATTTCTATTTTAGAAATATCATTTTGGATGCACAACATAGAATGGGCCAAAAATTAGTAAGTGCAAAAGCAAAAGGAACTGAGTTGGTGGAAGCATCTTAGCATGTAGATAGTTCTGCATCATTTTTAAAGGAGAAAATAACTTAAAAGAAAAGGGGAAATACTCAGGAGTTGTTTCCTCTGGAATTCTTGTTCCTCATAGTATCAGAGCTCTTGGAGTTCTATAATGCCACTGTTCTCATTTCATACAACTTTTCTAGTGATTTGTGAGTGAGTTCGTCTGATACTAGTCATTCCACTGTAGCTAGAAATGAATGTCTTCAATATTTATTAAAACTTGGAACCATATAAATTCTGAGATCTAGCATTTCCACTTTTAGAATTTAATCCACATATAAACTCATTACATGGCCCCAAACATACGTACAATAAGTTTCACGGAAGAATTACATAAAATAGCAAAAGATATTAAAGAAATCAATATAGAATTAAAGTCCATTAAAACATAGATTCAATGTATTACAGCATGTCCACGTAATGAAAATGAATGTAAACAAATGATATGAAATTCTAAGTGCTAAAATGGAAGACAGAAAATAATATTCATGGTATGTGTCAATTGAGGTAAAAATTAATAACCAGATGCACATATATTATGGCTTATGTAAACATGTTTCTGAAGAGAGACTGAATGGAAAAAAAGTATCTGAGACAGAAAATAAATCTGGGGGCTTTTAGTCACTGGATCATGCCTCACTATTTTATAATGTTTGAGTTTATTATACACATATTTCATGCCTTAACCTTATAAAACATTGAGAAAAATAAAATGTAGCATGAAAACTGCTGTCCACAATGAGCAAAGAGGAAAATGTACTTCAAATGAAGCTTACTTAAGCAAAAAAACTCCTTTAGTGAAGTTGGATATTAGAGCTTGAGCATTAATTAGAGGAACAATGCATTTGGAAAAGAACACAAACATAAGAAGTTCAAAACTGATGGAGCATATGATGTAAGAGGACACTACCTATCTTATAGGCTTTATTTTCCTCCAAGGTCACATTATGTCAAGGCAAAGTCTTTTCATTTCATTTTGGCACAATGAGGAACAGCTAAAAAAAAAATTATAAGTGAAGTGTGTATGTTACTGTTTAGATCTAAAATGTTCTGTGAAAGTCTCATATATTCGGAGGCCAGGCTTTTGGAAACTGACAGGATCACTGGGACTTTAATATCATCAGTATATTAACTCACTGACGAGCTTATAGCTAAACGTTTTTTAGCAGGTGGGGACTGGGTGAAGAGGCATGTCACTGGGGGTGTAACATGAAAGGGTGTGTTTTTGTCTCTCTGGCTCTGTCTTTTGCTTTCTGCTTTCTGTCTGCCATGACCTGGACAGTTTTCATTTGCTAGATCCTTTCATCATGCTGACCATGGACTGAATTCACTGAAACTGTGAGCCAAAAATAAACCTCTTTAAGTTGTGGTGTCAGGTAATTGACCTTGCAAAGGGAAAGCTAACTAATACGGTGTGACAAGACCAACTTTCCATTTCCTGTACATTAAGAGGATGATACAATGAACAATGGATTGATAAGGGACTAGAAAAGGAGGAGAGACATTTAAGTTAGGAGAAGGCTGGAATAACTAAAAGGAGACTAGTGTGTTGACAATGAGGATAAAGGGCCACAGACAACAAGATAATAAGAATGTAGATTTAAAAGAAGTTGGGTCCTCATTATTACAACTTATTTTGGTTTGGACCACCGAGTAGACAATGGAACTCTTCACTATTAGAAAATACTAAAGTGCCACAGATATGTGGGTGAAAGAAAGATTCATTTTTTTTTTTTTTTTGCAGTTGAGATTAAGATATTTGGGGCAGTTAAGAGATAAAATACAAATCTAGAGCACAGGATGATGGAAGAACAGCTTTAACTGTTACAGGAATAAATTGGTGGTTAAGGTCACTAAAATATGTAAGATTATCACAGGAGGAAAGCTGAGGATGGAACTACATGTATATGGCGTATAACATATAGGGAAAGACTCTCTAATTCCCCAGAAAACTAACTGTTCTCAGGTATCAGGAGTGAAAGCAAACAATAACAGTTTCAGAAGACACATACTCTTTCACAGAAATAGGACATGAAATGTTTCATTAATATAGATAAGCTAGAAGATGATACTCTAAACTACTATGCTGAATTACTCAGTGTTTTTTAAAAAGTCATACTTCTATCCTTCTGAAATGAAATTTTTTGTTGCTGGAAGAGTACATCCATTTTAAGAAGGTTCCTAGTGATCTGTATCCTCATGTCTGTAACCAACTATGATAGACTGTAAACTCAAGAAGAAAAGATATTATTTTATTAATTCATCATATATACCCAGTGTTCACCATAGCATCTGTCAAATACCAGAACCTTTAAAAATGTTAAATAACTTAAAGATGAGACAGATAAATAGACAGATGGAAAAACAAATTAATAAAAGAACTAGCATCTGGCAAAATCATGATGAGATTATGGGAGTTTACATTCTAGCAGGCATCAGGGGCTGGGAATTTAGCTCAGTGGCATAAGTGCCTGCCTTGCAATCCTGTGGTCGTGAGTTTGACCCCTGGTACCGGTAAAAACACACACAAAAAAAAGAAAAAAACACATTCTAGCAGGCATGGAAGTCAAAGTACATGTCAAAAGATGAGATAAACTGGAGAGACTTGCTTTAACTGGGCTAGTCACAAGAACGTCTTTGAGGAAGTCACACCTGAGGGGTGACTGAAATTATAAGAAGGTATCATTTGATGATTTGAGGAAAATATGTCCAGAAGAGTTAAATTCTAAGGAGAAAAAGGGTGTCAAATACACTTAAAACAATTAAAGAGGCTTATGTGTTTATGGCTCAGTGAACAAGACAAAGATTGGGACAAGACGAATTTGAAAAAACAGTATGCTGATCATGCAGGGTCTTACAGGTTGTGATCTCACAGGAGATTCGATGTTATTCAAATTGCAATGAGAACTATTAAAACTTTAAGTAGGTATATCATGTGATTTACACTTTAAAAATATCACCGTGTCATCTTTATGAATAATGGGTCATAGCAGGGCAACAGGAAGTAAGTAGACAAGTTAAGGATTAATGCAGTATGTCTCACAGGAGATGATTATGTTCTGAGGGCAGCAGTAAAGATGGTGAGAAATGCTTGAATTTGGAATATATTCTGGAGACAGAAGACAGGATCACTCTAATGGGTTATGTATAGGAGATACGAGAAAGAGTCCAAAGAATTTGGAGTTTAGCCTATAGCACTGAGGACTCCTTTAAAGGCTTAAGTGACAATTACAGTGACTTTGGTAAAGTGGATATCATGGGTGATCTTGCTCCAACCTATCCTATTTAGAAATGGAAGCAGCAGCTAGATTCCAGGTATATGATGCATTTGAATCAACAAAGTATGACAAAGAATACAGATGACATCCCTAGTTTTTTGTGTGTTTAAAGCAAGAATGAAGAAAGTAACTAGAGTAAAAACTAGTTTACAGAAAGGAAATTTTTAGGATGGCATAGGCTAAAATATGTTTTAATTTTGATGTGAATGAGACAATAATGACAGAGTAGGGAGATGGGTCTCTGAAAGTAGATGCAGAAGAGGTACAGGATGCACAGGTAGGGATTTAGCCATATATAGGAGAGACAATACTCCCAATTTCAGGAAGCAAGCATAGGTGTGGGAACACATAAGTTAGGAGTGGTGTTAGGAGGCAGATGAATTCCCAATATGATGCCTTTTATTTTCTCTGTGAAGAAGATAAATCTTCCACTCAAAATGAGTAGGGATATAAAGGTATTTGCAATTTAAAGACGCTGAAAATGGTCTGAGATAGCCACTATGAAAAATACATAAAAAATACTTGTAGAAGAAGCTAAGATTGGCAGGCCATGTTGAAGAAATCCATGAAGCTGAATAAATAGTTTCTAAATTTTATGTATGAATAATGGTAATCACAGTCTTTTTTTTTTGGCAGGAAAAAATGTAAGTTTTTTGTTTTTGGTTTTGTAACAGGGTCTATGTACTTTAGGCAACCTGGAGCTTTCTTTGTAGCTGAAACTGACCTTGAATTCATGGTAATCCTCTTGTCTTGGCCTTCTGATTGCCAGACATAAAGGCATACACCACCATGCCTGGGAAAATCAACATCTTGAAACCTTATTTATTTTTTTTTGTAAAATTTGTAAAAATTACTTTTCAGATAAAAACATTTAATTGAATAATCTGATGTTGCACCACATGTACACATAGTGTAACTAAACGTTACAAGTAAAATACCTGCTTCTTTAACTGGTTTTCTTTTCTTGATGTAAGAAATATCAAAATCATTTCTTTTAGGCTTTTGAAATACAGTACATTGTTATTTATATTTACCCTGCTTATTTTCATTTTCATTTCATTTATATAATCTCTGTATGCCTAAATATGAACTCATACATCTAAATTTTGGAAGTAACTTATAAAAGTTATTTTGGCAAAACCATAACCTTTAATTTCTGAAGTTTTCTCTCTCTCTCTTTTTTTTTTTTTTTCCAAAATTTGAATTGGAATATTGCTTGGGTGAAAGCTAAATTTAGACAGGTGAAAATGAATAGATTTGAAGTAAGATAAAATAGTGACCATAAAACGAACTGTTGCAAGAGGATCCTATCAGAACAGAGAAAGCAATCATGTCTCATAGATTGACTTAAATAACTGAACATAATTATCAAATTATCTAGTAGTTTCATTTTTCTCTTAATTTTTGCTATCACATTGGCACAGAGTAATCATTTAATAACACTTAATGGTAGAAGAAATTAATAGTTCAGGAATATTTCGGTATTTTTTGTACATTGATAAACCATTAAGATAATCAATTAAAATAACTCCAAGAAAATATGAAACTTACAAAATTATTTGCAGTATTACTGGTAACAGTATACATTATAGCACCAGTATTAACAACATCCAGAAACCATATCAATGAACTAAGATATAGAACAGGAAAATGATGACATCAACAGAATTCAGCTCTTTCATAAAAGTAGTTATTTTCTTTTTTAATCATGACTGGAGAATAAAAATGCCACACAGTATAACTAGGAAGCACTGCCCTACTAAATATAGCAATTGAGCAAAACATCTAATAAATATGATACAGTGAACAGAAAGAAGTAAAAACCAATCTTTAATGTACAGAGCACATCCAGGGCTTGACAATATAAGAGCTAAACAGGATTTTTCGAAATCTTGGAATATTTTTCTTACCACTTTTCAATGAATTTCCTAATAGGTAATAGATAGGAAAATAGATTGCATAATCTCTAAAGAAAAATTTTACTCCTATTTCTGATAGTAAGGCATCTGATTACAGCAACTATGAGATACTCAGGATCATAACTCTTTTTTATATAGCATATAATGACCATTTGAATAAAGGCAAATTTTCTAACAGAGTAATTTCTTTTATCTATAGCTTATGTATTCTTGTATTTGGGTCAAAAAACTTGTAAGAATTTTCATGATTTTGCACATTTTTATATATATTCTTACCTCTAAAAGATAGGGTTCCATTTCATCCAGGGTTTTTCCTAGATGTTTATCTGGTTCTAAACCTGCCAAGAAAGGTTAAAATTTTCCACATAACTGCCAGATTAAATTTTATTTATTTATTTATTTTAAAGGGCAAAAAAGCACTGAAAAATCAAACGTAGTCAAGCAAACAAAAAAATTCAAAAAGCAACAATGAAAACCAAATAACATTAACAACATCTACAACAAAAACCAAACCAAACCAAACAAACAAAAAACAATAGTAATACAGGATTTCAAAACATCATAGGAATTTAACCATAGTTGTTACACTGTATAGTGTTATCTTCAAGTTAATTGCTCAAGTTACCAGGTACAGGCATGCATAACTGATCAAGCCAAATAACAAACTAGAGACTTTTATAGGTAAAATGGATGCATCTAGAGACCACATTCATAAGTGAAATAAATCAGTCACAAGCGTAAACACCATATTTTCTCATTGGATAAGAAACTGAAAGCAAGTCTAAGTTCCAAAAATTTACAATAGATGTAGTGAAAGGGGAAGAAACAGCTCACACAGATTCACCTTTAAAGACACATTCCCCTTCCTTTAGTTCCTCTTCACCTAATTAACCAATGTGTATATTTTTTTAAACTGTCTTGATCCTACAATAAAATGTATTTTACTAGTATTTACTTTCCTACTCTTTCTGGATAATCAGTTTTATTGATCCTGAAGCATAAGTGTCAGCTCATTTCAAATGCACCACATCAACAATGAGATGCATCGCTTCAATTTCTTTCTCCTACAGAAACAGTAATTAGGATGGAAAGAAGCACAATTTCAAAGGCATAAAATTTAAATCCATCATATTTTAATTATTCTCGTTTATTTTATTCATTGTGAATTTTTTGACTTAACCTTATTTTACGCAAACTCCAAACTTCTTACATGAATAGTAAGGCTGGAAAGAAGAAGAGTGATAAACTGTTATGCCCATATAATCAATTCATTTAATAGCATCATATAGTGATATATATATAATTATACCATCAAATTAGATAACATTTGCTTTCAATGACCATTTGTAAAAAAGTGTGCTTTCCAAATAAATACAGAAACAAGTCTCAAAAATCACTATTGTATCAAGAGCATGTCTGTAACTTTCAATTTTTTGGTTTTTTAAACTTAAATTTCATTGGCATTCCTTTTACATACATAATGATCACATTCATTACAGAGACCTAGTAACTGCATATATGGGTCTCACTATATAGTTCAGGCTGGCTTTGAACTCACTATACAGCCTATGTTGGCATAGAACTCACAGCAATCCTCCTAACTCAGTCTCCTGAGTGCTGAGATTACAGGTATATTTCACCACACTCAGCTAATAAGGACAGTCAACTACTATATCCGTAGAATTTATGAAAGTGATTGAGAGTGGTCCGTACAATAAAGAACTCTTTCCATACTAGCCTGACGAGGGGAAAAAATTCATACCACAAGTCAGTGATTAAAAGAATGAATCATACATGCCTGTATTTCTGTGTGTGTCTGTACATAATTTTCATTTGTTACTGATTTAAACCATTCAGCTTATTAATTATATACACTGATTAATATATTTCTATTTCTTAATACCTTTTTTCTTAATATAACATTTCTTACAACCATGTATCAGAATTACGGGAGAAAATTCTGGTAAAAATTAAGGATTCTTCTGTCTTTGAATATTAATTTAAATCAAAACCAAGGCAAAAAACTCAAACTAGTAGCAAATTATCTGAGTTCACATCCTATCTGGCAGTCTTATTCTTATTCACAAGAATTAAAATTTCAATAGTTAGGTGAACACATAGAAGAACTAATTCTTGACTATACAGTTTTCTTTCTGTCAACTAGTTTGCAATTCAGTGTTTAATGCAATGAAATGATTTGAAACAAATACCCAAGCAGTCACCCAGATTCAATGAACAAAACATTTTATCTTATTTCTTAAAGAAATAAGACTTTTCTTGTAAGAAATAAAATGTCAACCAACCATATAATTTCACATTGTATCTAAACCTAATCAATCTACTTTCTCTACTGTTTTACATATGACTGGCCAGTATTCTAAACTTGATAGGTTATATCAACTATATGTTTGAAATTTTATATAAATGTATGTATCCAAAATAGCATTTAGAATATAAATATTAAATTTATTTTTCAATTCACATTGGTAATGAGATTTGCCCATATTGATTACTGTAGCTCTGCTTTATCCATCCATTTTTACTCTGTATTTCATTATGTGGATTTACCAGAATTTACTTAACTGTTCTCCAACAGTTTGACAATGGGCAATTATGTAATTTATCATCTGCCACTGGACTTACTATGCTATGGTGAAGATGCATTTATTAAGAATTACTGTAAGAGAAAATTAGTATTACAAAGGAATGTATGTGCATATTTGTACAAGCCCTTAAACTGTACAGGATACCACAAAATGTTTCTCTAAAACAGGATTATCAACTTATATACTTCAGTTTGAGGGAATTATAACTAATATTTATTTTGTGGTGCTGGGCATAGAATACAGGGCTTCAAACAGGCGAGGCAAGTGTTTATCACACAAACACTTAGATCTACTTTCATCTAGAATTTCAGGTATCAAATATGAAGTGTTATAATTGTTTTATTAATACTATTTATAGAACCCTTTCCCTCTCTACTGATAATCAGAACCTATAATTTTGGAAGTAAAACTTTTAGTTTTACTATCTTTAGAACAGATCAGCAACAGAAAGTTTGCCAATAATGTAATGGCTGTTCAAAATTATTACTTCTTGTTTAAAATTATTTTAAAAAATAAATTGCATATTTATGTGGAAGACAGTACATGTAAGTGACATACAAATAACTGAATTCTCACAGCAATCTAGTATGTTCATTTTTACTACATTTTGTTGTTCACTAATTTGTACTGTGGCTACAGATTATAGTCTTTATGATGACAATGCCTTAAAAAAATGATGAAGTTTGATGTTTAATATTCTTCACAAACAAGAAGCACCAGGCCCAGAATTTAACCAAATTTTTAAGAAACAAATACCAGTTAGGGTCTCTTCCTGAGGATAGAAACAGAAAGAATATTTCACAAACCATTCTATGAGGTCAAAATAAAGAAATTACCAAAAAATGACCCACAGAACAATATCTTTCAAGAAGACAAGACATAAAAAATTTCCAGCAAAATATAAGTCAATAGAATTTTAAAATGTACAAGAAGAGTTATACAAGAGTCATTTACCACAGGAATGCAAAGCTGTTCAACTTCTGAAAATGAAGTAATATAATCCACTAAATCAGCAGGCTAAAAATAAGATACGAAAACCACATCATGGTATCAGTAGATGCAGAAAAAGCATCTGACAGAATACAATACCCATTTGTGATAAAAACTCTCAGTAAATTAGGAATAAAGGAAGACCCTCTCAATTTGATAAAATATATTAGAAAACACCTATAGATATCATCACATTCGATGGATTGGAGGAGCAGAGAGAATTTTTAAGGCAGTGAAAAAAATCATTGTGTAATACTGTAACAATGGATGCATTTGATTATACTTGCTTAACCACTGGGATGTATAAGATCAAGAATAAACCTCAATCTAAACTGTGGACTTTTGGTTATGATGTGCTAAAGTGGGACCATCAGTTTTAACAAATGTATCACATAAGAGAGGAGGTTATAGACATGAATGTTAAAGGGATTCATGGGAAACTTCATACCTTTCCTTAATTTTGCTTTGAAGGTACTCTAAGAAGTTTTAAACAGTTGGAAAGTTTCTTTATGCCTAGTACAGACTCAAATTTTAGAAATGCTTCATTTGTGTTTGAATTAAAATAAATTCTCTTGTAACTAAACTCCTGTATCCATATATCTAAAATCATGATCATGCTTATTAATTTTGTTGTTCAAATCTTCTGTGGCCTTTGTGTTGGTCTCCAGGAACCATTCAGTTTCTAATGAACAGGAGGAAAATTCTCATTAGGATTTTGGTTTCAATGATTTCTTCTTATAATTAGGTCCTTATGCACTTGAAAGTTACATTTTGGGTGAATACAAATTGATGATTTATAAGATTTCTTGATGGGATTATTCCTTTTATTAAGAAGTAGTGACCTCAGTATCTTCATAACTGAATTTTATCTTGAATTTTACTATTGCAATACCAAACTATTTTGTTAATATTTTTCTGATGTATATTTTCCACCATAAGCTCAATTTATTTGTGTGCTTTTTAATATCTCTTTCATAAATGCTTTTTAATATCTCTTTTGTAAATTGTATACAATTGAGTGTTTTCGTTTTATCAGATCTTAAAAACACAACTCTGCCAAACCAAGTTTGATAATTTTCCATTTATCAGTCTCTATCTGGACCTGTTTTGATAACCTTTGTATATATTAGTATAATTTTATTAATATTATGCTAATACATGAGGATTGATACTTTTATAAAGAAAAGAGATTTTTTTTCTGGCTCACACTTCTACAGTTTCAAGTCAAGGGATTGTATCTGGTGATGACCTTTTGCTGGCAGAGCACTAGTGTGGAAAAAGGTATGACAAAATAAGTATCAAGCAGCCCATCCTTGCATAATATAATCCTCTGGAATCTGTCTAAATATTCAGTTTTAGGGTTCTATTCTGATGAATCTGTCTAATCCTAATGACTTCTGAAAGGCCTTGCCCCTATTACCACAGTCTGATTGTTTCTATCTTCTTAATATCTCATTATAAGGGTTAAATTTCAGGACAGAAACTGTTAGGGGACACTTTCAAACAATATTCAGATCACAGCAGGGTAGTACAGCAGGGTAATATAAACTTTCTATTTTGTTTTATTTTTCCTGCCTCAAAATGGACTGAAAAGGATTTTCTACTGCTTCACTGCCCTGTACTGGAAGCTGCAAATTACACTTTTACTCTACCAGTAGTCACCAGGAATTTTAAGCACTCATTCAAGACATATCTTTAAGTCTAAATGTATTAAGAATCATTACCATTCTTTTAACTAGTAG